AAAAAAAAAAAAAACACACACACCACTCACACATCTTGGTGATCCTTGTCATGTCTGCCTGGAGTGCGATACTGCCTTGAGTTGCATTGTTGTTTTAATAGTACTGGATCTGAACTACCAAAGACGTACGAAATATTTAAATGCTAGGTGTCTTGTGTAAAAGCCTTACTAAGCTCTGGGTTCTTTCCTTACACAATAAAAAAAGAAAAAATAAAGTTGATTTCCCCTTGCTGGTCTTTGCAGAAAACCCTGTGAAATAAATGAGATGCAACTCCTTTATAAATAGGATCCCTTAACAAATACATCTGTGAGTGTAACTACATTAGAAACCATTGCAGTAACTCAGCATGTTCTTGGACAATCTCTTAACTCTCACTGCATTTAAAAGATGTTGCTGACTGCCCCTTAATTCAGGTAATCATACTGTGTGCCTGTAAGGGGGAAGTTTAGGGACTGTAGTGAGGTAAAATGAGCTGTATTCTGTGAACTCAGTCACCACTGGGGCACGCTCTTAGAGATTTTGTGCACCAGAACAGTAAAAGTCACCTTTACATTTAATTTTTCTTGTTATTATCCATTAAATAATCCCATTCACAGCCTCAGTAGAAGGAAGAATTAAGTGTGTTTTTTCCCCCTTTTATTAAGCTTATAAATTAACTTTTGAGCTACTATACAATGGAGTAATTACACATACTTAAAACATTCAAATCAACAGTCCTAGGCATCTGCAAACTGGAATAGATATATCCTCAATCAGCAAGAATAAAAGCCAAATAGACTGTACTAAGCAACTACCTTGAGTCACAGGGATATGTGTGTGTGTGGGGGGGAGGGGGTGTTCTTGGTTACAGTTCCCTCAGTTATTAGCAGATTATGCTAAAAATAATGATGCTAGAAGTCAATTACTGTAGTAATATTGTAATGGTCTGCATAGTCACATACCTTCTAGTGTTAAGTCCGTGGTTCTCTAAAGCTACTGAGGTAGGTTTTTCACCTTAAGCATTTGATGTTTAACAGCAGGACATCATGATGTGCACTAATTTGATCTTACAGAGGAAAGAGTAACAATATTTTTTTTTAAATAGGCTCTTAGAAAAAGTACATATTTTTTTGCTCTAGGGCTTGACTCCTGTTTCTGCTGAACTGAGCCAGTAATGTAAAATCAGAACTGATATCAGCTCAGTAGGCACCAGAGGACAGGTCCATCAACAGCTTGGAACAACAGCAGCTGCCATAACTGGCAGCTCCAGTAAGAAACAATCATTTCCTGCAAAGAATACACATTGCTAAGCTAAAATTGCAGAGAAATCATGAAAGCATCCATTAAAGAGAGGACTCCTTTACAAAACAAGGTTTTATAGACCATTCCAACTTTAAATCACAAACACTTATTTCCTATCTTTTAGGAAAGCATTGTAATCAAATTACTGTGGATGACACCTTACTTTTGCAGACAGACTGAGAATTTAAGGAGCACTGCTTATTCTCAACCAAAAAAGTCTCTTAACCTAAGTCACCTCTGCCTCTTATCCTCCATATACTGCATTTCACACACAAACATTTTTTATAAAACCATATTGTGAGCAGCAAGGTACCTTAGCCAGCAAATACACTCCATTCTGCATACGCTGCCACTTAGGAAATGTTCTCATCTCACCTTCTCTTCAGGTGCAGAACTTCGCCACTGTGAACAAAGTGGAAAACAATCACTGTTCACCAATCGGCTAAGCTCTGCACCTTGACAGAGAGGTCTTCATCTAACTAATCATCAGATGAGTTTCTTCCATGATGTGTTTACTTCTCTTCCCTCCCCCCCCTTTTTTTTTTAATGGATGGAGAAAGTTCCAAGGTATGAATCAGATATAACAGATACAATGATTTTTATAGTAGCAGCTGGGGTCATGGCTATGTGGTAATCCCTGGCAATGTGATTTTAATCTTAAATCACAAATCATCATGCCAGGAACCCAAGCAGCCACAACATTGAAAGAAACCTGTTCATTTATTTATCCCTCGCATGTTCAAGTTTAGAACAAGAGGTGTATTTCTTAGGGGTGCTGTTCCCCGACCAGTTTCTTTAGATTTTTATTTATTATTTAGCACATTTATTTATCTAATTTATTTATTCAGCATGCTTGCATTCCTAGTCCATCTAAAAGTCAGACAGGTAACTTCTGACTACGCTAACACATACTTACCACTGGAGACTTGTAGAAATTTTAGTTTTTATTTTAATATGAAACAAAGTATAGGAAGACAGAAGAACAAACTGCATCTCTCTGGCCTTCAGTAAACTTCTGAACAACTAAAGGCAGGTACCAGAATAAATAAATGTTGAATATAATAACTCTCAAACTTGGATGCATCTTTGATAATTGGTTTATAAGTTGTAAGTATTGTTTTTATAAACCAGTTGTTATAGCCCCATAGTCATATAGCTGTTTTAGAATATGACTCTCCCACCATAACTAATCCCCTAGCAAGCTATGGCTTAATCCACATTTGCCCCAAAGACTTCCCGACAGGAACAGCTCTTGTCTAACCAGAAGAAGAACAGGGCTATTCATAAACAAATAGTTTTTATGGAATGTGCTGTATTCCTTACAAATAAAGTCATGTCACAAATTCAAACAGGATGGCGTATCAAGTTCTGACCATGTGTACAGGCTTGAATGGGGAAGAGAATTAAGATTCCTGTTCATAAACAATTACAAAAATGATGATTTTGCTAAATTAGATGTCTGATTTTGATACGAGAAATCAACTGTAAAGTTATGTGAAAAACCAAGGCAACGAGCCTGATGGATGAGTTAGTTACATGATCAGGCAAAAATCTGAGGTATGCTGTACTGAAAAAGATCATCATACCAATCCTAATCAGTTGTGTGCTAAACCTGCGTGTAAAAACACTGGAAGGTTACCTCAGGCTACCCACCTAGATGGCAAGATGGACAATATCTCTGCAAAGGACCACTTTAAAGCCTGTATCAACCTTTAGCTGGTGACTATTTCTTGGTATTTTGCTTTTTCTCTACTCTTTTATTTCAGAAGCAAACTAAATGGAGTATGAAGAACATTAAGCAGCTTCTTAATGTCAGGGTTACTGCTCTTACCTCACTTTCAGATGTCAGAGACTTGACTTAGCGCAGATTTGTTTGAATTAGAAAATTAGGATTTGCTTTCAGATGCACGATTTCCTAATTCCTTTATGGGTGCAGATTCTTTTCAAAGACTGGGCTGCTTCTCAAGTCAAAATGCAGCTTTATTAAACACGATTGCTTCTCACACAGTTGTGATTTTAAAAAGCTCTGCAAACGGCATGAAGAATGCAGAGCGGACGGCAACTGCGCGGGAGCCCGGCCCGGCCGTTGCCACTCGCAGCCCTTGGAGAGCTTGGGGCAAAGCCCTCTGTGCTCTGCACGTGCTGCCTGCAGGCAGTCACCTTGCTGCTCCAGCAGCTGGGTTTGAAAACACGGAATGCAGCAGGACTAATTGCTTGAACTAGGCAACCACAAACTCTATGGGACAGCAAAGTTCACTATGTTTAGTGGGCTATCGTATCCTTTTTGCATGAGGTAAAACCAGCACCTTCAATTAAAAAAAAATAAATAAAAAATCACCTCTTCAGAATAACATCTCTGCTACCACTTTGGCGGAGGACACATCCATGTGCTCTCGTGCTGCAGCAAAGCATTTATGGGCAAGCTCCTGTTGTTTTGCATCTTCGTTCACCATCAGCTCCCCGTAGAGGTACACACCCATTGCCTGCAACAGGAACAAAACACACATTCACCCTACCACCAGCTGTGACCGATGAGCAAGATTTTGTTCCATATAACTCACAGAACTCACTGAATGAAAAAAAAAAAAAAAAAAAAAAAACCCCCCCACACCCCCTAAAAAAAGGAGGCCATATACTTTATGACACATGCTCGCACCTCCATACATAAATGTTCTCCAGCTGCTTTTTGCTTCAGAAACACCATCTTTATATTGTATCAAGCACTCATTTAACAAAGGAACATTAATATAAGCCTCCCTACTCTATTTTTCTTACCATATGCCAGGTTGAAATCTGTTCTCTTATATCCACTACCTGAAATACTTTCAAATGTCCTTTAAGAAGGTGGCTTGTTCTTCCTCTAATAGGTTAAATAATTTCTTTCAAACTGTGTTGTTTCCATACTCAGTAATTAAGTTCACATCTACTGAAATAGCCCATCCTAGAATGCCCATTTGGCAATTCTGTGACCGGAAATCAACTAAAAATGGTCAGCTCTGTGTTTCAAAATCATCTCTTCTCATTCAAAATATGGTTGAACATGCATACTCTTCTATGGTATGGTAGGGAAAACAGGCTTTTCCTGACTCCAGATTTTGGAAATAGCAGCAATCAAGAAAGATAACTGAGTTTATGGGTCAAAATCCAGGCCCTGTTGGCAGTAATAAAGCACTAGCTAGTTATAGGAGACAAAAATTTCATTGTACATTAGCTTTTTTTTTTTTTTTTTCTTTCTCTCCCCTGATTATACAAATATTTTCATCTAACTGCAAGGAATTCCACAAGCGTTAAGTTGCACTTACCAAAGCAGCATCGTACATATGACTTAAAATACTAGCAGGTTAACAAATTAGCTTTCACAGTTGTACTCAATGTTTGGATAGTTGCAGTAGAGGAAAATATGGATATCATTGGAAGTCTATTTTTAATACTGTTCCTTCCAATTTACCAGATTGGCTGGTGAAGTCTTTTTTTAAAAAAAAAAGGCAAAAAAAAAAAAAAAACCAAACAAACAAAAGAACAAGGTAAATTCACATATTTCAACAGGAAGAGAAATCTAATATTTAATGAAGACTTGGAGGCGTCAGACAGAAACCTGCCGGGCTCCTCGCCAGTCCCACAGCTCTGCTGCCTTGCACTGGGAGACGCAGGAGCTCAGATCTCCCCGACCTGCAGCTGCAGGGCAGTCACACCAGACAGGCTGTCTTGGAGCTGGGCTCCAGTTCCTTTCCTAGAGAACTTCAGAATGATGAGATTTTGTTCCAAATAGGAATTACTTCTCTCTACCCAGCGTTAATAATTTTCCGCAAACCCAAATATTAAAACTCGGTAAACATACTGGGTTTTAGTAATCCTGAAAAGGATTAAATAGCCACATTTGCATTTTTCCCAGACTTTTAAAATAGCCAAGTCTTTCAGGATCAGTAAGGGCATGCAACCGCTCTAATTTCAGTCATAATCATTCCACAACCTGGTTGTGCCATAAAATGCATGTAATTGCTGGAGTAGGCTAAATGAAGGATACTGGAGATCACATTAAAAAAAATATTTGAAAAAAAATCGTTCCCACACTGTAGAAAATGTTAGTCTTTATTTGACATAATATTTGCCTGAAAAATAATGTAGTTCAAAACAGGTACGTTTGTAAAAACTTGAGCACTATTTTCATTATCTACTGGTACATACCTGCATCCTTCCATATGATTAAAATGATGACAATATATATGTTTTTATTTTCATAATTGATATTGTCTTATGCTTATAATATTTATCAAAATAAAGAGCTTGTAAGGAAATGTGGGGCCTATTTATTGACTGAGCTAGAAATAGGAGGTATATCCTAGAGTTGTAAGAAAGCATATGGAAGACTGTAAGAACTCTACTGTACTGTTGTGACAAAATATATCTGTCTAAAGTATGAAAATCTTTGGCTGTCTGTCAACATGAACATGAATTTCTTTCCTATTTTGAAATACATTGCAACATTTTCAGTATTTTATATAACTTTTACATATATACCATATGCTGGTCAGTGAATTTCTTGATTCTTAGTGTTCATAATGAATAAAAATGAATGAAAGTGACATTGAAAGAACAGAGTTAGTTAAAATTAGAATTTTAAGTCCTCTAATGGCCTAAGTATGTCATAATAAAGATATAGAGCAGGTCCAGCTTTAGAAATTCCCTCGCATTACTTCCCTAACCCTGCAGATGCCTGCAGCCCTTTAATATAGGCTCTTACAAAACATTTCTCTTTATGGACGCAGTCTTGGAAATTTAAGCCTTCGCAGCACTGACTATTTTGCACCTATCTATCTCATATCCACACACTAGTATTTACAGCCAGTCTGCCCTTATCATCAGCGGAACCAATGCTGGAAGGCACTCTTCAGGCATCACTACACCTCCAGCTTGCATGAAATGAACACGGAAGAATATATCCTATTTATTTAAGCAAAGGGCAAGAAGTGAATACACATTCAAGTTTTTGACAATCATCTAGAGCAAGAAAATGTATTTTACTTTGGACAGTAAAGGCGGATTATTTTGAAAATGTTAATTAAATGGAACTGACCTGATCTTCTCTGAGAAACTTCTCAACATCTCCATATCCAGGCACGTACTTGTGTTTAATAACAAGTTCACACCACCGATGTCGGACCTTTGGGAAAAGAAAACAGAAAATAAAACCTTGTATCATATCTGTAATTAATTGCCAGTAAATGATAATTTTCAGACTTTTTTTTTGGCAAAAGGTGGCTCCTGTAAAAAATAAAATTGAACACAAAGGTTATGTTTTTCAGGGCAGGTGCAGATTTGCAGCATCTTCACCTCAAACTGCTCTTTTCCTCTAAGCTAACTGCAAGTTACTACTTTCATAATGTTAAACGGAGTGGGAAGAGGAGAGATTATGGCTACGAACATCTGGAAGACCTACAAAATGCAATGAAATAATTCCTCTACATAAGTGTAAATCCAAGAGATTAGAGGGTTTAAGTTTACATATAATTCTGTATCAATACTAAACTACACGCTAAAGGGAAAAAAGTAATGAAACAGTGAAGTAAAACACAGTTCTGCCACCATAGCTTTGCTAGGTAATAGACTTTGGGTGCCTTGCAGAGGGTTTAAAATCCATCTACGCTTAAGGATCGGCCTCTGCTACCAAATGCACATTAACAAAAAGACAGTTACTAACATGCTGTAGCATGCTAACATGCTACTAACAGTAGGGATTTTTTCAAGCAAATTACTATTGATTAATACAAATAACTTAAACAGTGTGAGAAGCACCCCTTTGAAGTGCATGCTTCATGCATATTTTGGCTTTGTTTTAAATTAGTGACTTTGTTCTGAACAACTCCTGTGGCATTAGTGTCATCTTACACCGCACCAAGGCTTCCTCAGCTGCACGCAGTGATCAAGCTTAAGTTTTATATTCCATTATTAGCTCAGTGCTGACCCTCAAGGACAAAAGCTGAGTGCAATGAAAACCTCTCACTTGCTACTCCAGCCGTTGTTCCTACCATTTTTCGAAAGACCAGATCCTAATCATTATCAGCTTTTATAACAAGACTAAACTGTAATAAGTTTTAAAATTTTTGAAATTTGAGTCTAAACTCTGCTATTATCAATTAATTAAGAGGTACTGATAACTCTGAGAATGAAAGTCAGAAAAGAAGGAGATAGAAAGACACAGGTAAATTGTTGCTTTTGGAAATAAGGGAAGTACTTCTTGTTATCCTAGTCCATGCCAAAGTCTCAAGAAAGAAGTTTTCAAGAAAGAATTTCACAAAGTTATGTAACTAAATGATAGCCTCACTAACATGATCAAGAAGTGATGAATGCTCATAAGTCCTCATAAGGTGCAAAGAGTCTTTTTTTGGGTGTCTGATAACTCTTTCCAGCTGACCTCTCATATAAAATTGTTCAAACACAGCTTCCAAATGGAATAAAATGCTGAGGGAATTTGTGTCTGAACTGAGCTTGCACTCACACTGTCTGAGACACTGAACAGTTAAACTGGTGAGGAATGAAAGCTGTCTCTTAAAGATTGCTGCTGACAAAATAACAGCTGGTAAGATTCCTCCTGCATGTGGAACCAGAGCTAAATCCACAAAAGTAAATAGTTTTCCAAGGCCCAACTCGCTTTGCCGGGGATGCCCACATGCATAAGGCAGACCCCCAAAACGCTACCCAGCTGCTGCTTCTCCCAGGAGACATGGAACATTTTGCCAGCAAACCCTCCCAGGCTCTCCAGCTCTGGGAGAGGGCATTTCCTCACACACCAAGCAGATCCGTGCCTGGCCCATAACTTCAGGGCTCACGAACTAAGCATTTCCTTACTTACTCATTGGCAAGGTGATTGAACCCTCCTCTAACAGAACATAAAAACGTTTAAAAGGTTGCTGCATAACAAGAACTCTCTAACGCATTCCTATATCATGCATGAAGTAGGTGATGATGAGGAAGGGACTGTAGTGTTTTCCTCATGGCCCCCCTGTATCTTGAGTTGCAGCAGCTACATCTCAACTCACACTAGTTACTCATTGAGGAGGAGAGCAATCGAGTTCAATTTCCACACCTCAGGATCTCAGATTTCATCTTGTTCAATAAGCAGATGAACTGGATTCTGAGAATGGGATCCTCTTCCATACAATAAAAATATTTATTGATCCTAAAAGGAGAAACTCAGAGCATCTGAGTGCTTTGAGGTATAAGGCACCCGAATATTCCATTAAGAACTCAGGCACATGCCTACATAGTGCAAAAATCAGATCATGTAACTTCTGTGGATATGACCGTAGTATCTCTATGGAAATCAGAATATAAGTTCTCAGTGTAAACGTATTTATTTATGTGGTTCTACTTTTCAATGTGTGAATCTACTATTTGTCTGCCCTGCATTTAGCAGCACTGATGATCTGAATTCCAACTGCTTTGCAAAACATGGAACAATTAAGCTGTGCTCACTTTCTGAGACCATTCCTTCCTCTACAGGGTTCCAATTCTTGGCAATAAACATCCTTTAAAATGGTTTAAAAGAAAAATATTTACTTGTTGAGTGAGGTTTGAAGCTTTCTTTCCTTCTGTTTTTCTCTCTTTCTCAGTGTCTTTACAAACTCTGGAACATGCCCAGCTTGGATATGCAGTGTGTGCCAGCTGGGGCAGAAGCAGCATGTCTGTTATCCTCAGATTACACGTTTGCCTCCCCTGTTTGAAAAGCCCGGGAGGCCCCTGTAGGACAGCAAACTGCAGGACAACCAGTTCTTATCGAAGTGCTGGTAAAACCAGTAGCACAGGCACTGCATGTCCCACTGGCTTTCTAGGGACATACCTTGCACTCTGGCAAGCTGTCGGCAAAACTGCTTTATGTGCAAGGTCACCTGGCCAAAACTGGCAAAAAATCCTATGACCTGAGCTGAAAATACCTTTGTGGCTCTCCTGGCCTCCCACTCCCCCACGCAGTGTGGCTTGCAGGTTGCCACATACCACAGCTGCAGCTGAAGCATATGCAGATACACACACTACAAAGAAGTAATTTTTCTAGTATAATCCGAGCCCTCAACTTACACCGAAACCATGAGAATTTTATTCGTTGAAGAGGAGGCCAGGAAAAAAAATATTTCTGTTCTCAATTTCTCATCCAGTCCTCAGAGGGAGAGAAGTAAAACATGGCCCACAGCTCTGCAGCACAATGAATGTGTCATGTGTACAAGCACTTTAACAAACTAGTATCAAAAGGAAAATTGGAAAGCTAAGTAGCTTGTGGAAGGACCAACCAGCCACACCACATCCTGTGTATGCTCTTTTGGCTTTTCCTCCCAGGAGCAAAGACGCAGTGGCAAAAATTAGAAATCGTTAGTTTTTTTTCCAAATTTCCTCTCTGCACTTTTGTGTGTGCTCTTCTGCATGGTCCAGAGATGCACACCATATGTTGCTTTGCCTGGTTACACCATAACAATGTAAAGAGAACCTCCAAGGCAGCTCGCAGCAGCCCTCCCGTTACTGCTGGCAGAGCGCGCGCTCCTTCGCCTGGCTCTTCCATGTGTTGTAAGGCTGCAGGAGCATCCGTGAGCGCCCACCGCTCACGCACTCTCATTGCCCTGGCAGCTGCAGGGCCTACGTGCCAAAGCTGGAACACGTCTGTTTCTTCAGCCTCAGAGTTGGCTCTCGGAGTCCTGTCTGCCAATGCCTGATACTCCTCAGGATGAGGAGCAGTGGTCCTGGGGCGCTGGAGGTCTGTCAGGAGCGCAGGTTCCTAATGGATCCTCCTCTTTTGGAAACTGTGCTTTCCTCCAGCCCGGCTCTCAAGGATGGAGCTGAGGTTTCCACCAGCATCGTTTTACATCGACTGAAGATTGTTGCTACAAGTTTTGCAAAACACTCCAGAAATCACAGTATCTCACTGAAGCAAAACTCAGTAGTAGGTCATTGTGTCAGGTATGACTTGATTAATTACTATGTCTTGAAGGGACAACACTGCCAAATAGCATTGAGCTCCTACATTTAGGAACAGCAGCTTATACAAATAATTCTCTGCAATTCAGTTTAAAAAAAAACACACGACACTGCACAATATTGCTTGAGACGTAAACATTACCCATATTTTGATTTTTGCAAGGGAAATCTTTAGAAACAAAAATGACACTGACTTAGTCTATTTTTAGTGAAAATCCTCATAATTTATCAGGCGATGATCTTTTGTTAAATATTTCTTGAAGCTGACTTGGTGCCTATTTTAGGCATCAAATATGTGATATTTCTTCATCAAAATAAAAGCTTCCAGGGACATACCTGAAAAAGAGTATTTTAAAACTATTTTAAACAGATCTTGAAGTAAAACTATAATTTTCTACATTTGACCCAGGCGATAAAATACTTGCTGATTAACTTTCTCCTCATCCTTGCTGCAATAATCAGACAAGCCTAAAGCAAACATCGACACAGAAAGCTTTGTCTGTTATATTACAATAATCTAGTTTGCTCATGTTCTCAGTCATACATATGCAAGCAAAAAATAAATATTTTACTTCTGAGGTCTACAAATAAGATTTAGAAAGCAAGTAATTTAAGCCATGCCTTAAAAAAAAAAAAAAAAAAAAAAAAAAAAAAACTAAGGAGTTGTACTAAGCCTTTCATCTACAGAATGTGGGACTAGCTTCAGGGAAAATGAGTGCATTTTGCTAATAGCTGGATCCAATTTAAAAGGCACCACGAGACAACAAATATGAATCACAAAACAAAAGCAACATAGTTGGACATCTTAGAAACTGGGGTAATTTAAAATTTACTATTGTCCAACAAAATAGAATCTATATTAAAGGTAAGAATCATATGTGATATTTATAAAACATGAGTTCCAGCACTACTGAAAAAAATCACTCCAAAAATTAGAATTGTAAACGTTAAACAGCCACAGATGCCAGATTCCAGTCTAATTTACAGAGGAAAAAGATACAACAAAACTTCTTCAAATAACCAAACTGTGCTACTACAGCTCAGTTTTAATTACCCAGCTTACTCCAGTTATCTCCAGAGCACAGGAATGCTGCTCTGTTTGATCTGAGAGTATCTCACATCTCTTATCTCTACATAAATTAGATTCAACTACTGGATCATTTTCAGGGATAGTAAAGAAACAGTGTTACAGGTTTGGAG